CACATCCAGCGGGCCCCCCACCCCCCAAACATGCACGTCTGGGGAGAAGCTTTCATCCTGGACTCCTTCAACCTGCAGGTGGGCTGCGAGGCAGGCGGAGGGGTGAGGCTGGTGTGGGTTAGCCCAGGGGTCCTCAACCTTTCTGGCTGTGGGGACTGGCGAGGGGGGGGAGTGGAAATGGCTCCGTGTGAGCGGTAGGGGCTTGCGTGCACAGATCCATTGGGCACTCGCAGGCACGCGTGAAGCTCCACTTAGGCTGTTGGTTTGATCTCTTGAGTTTGGCGACTTGGTTGCAAACATTTCGTCAAGCAAGGTTCTACATTTAGGCAAGAAAAACCAAATGTACAGGTATAGTATAGGGGGTACCTTGCTCAATAGTAGCAACTGTGAGAGGGACCTCGGAGTCCTAGTGGACAGTCCCTTAAATAGGAGCCAGCCGTGTGCTGCAGCTGCCAAAAAGGCCAACACAGTGCTGGGCTGCATTAACAGAGGGACAGAATCAAGGTCATGTGAAGTGTTAATACCACTTTACAAGGCCTTGGTAAGGCCACACTTGGAATCCGGCATCCAGTTTTGGTCACCACGATGTAAAAAAGATGCTGAGACTCTAGAAAGAGTGCAGAGAAGAGCGACAAAGATGATTAGGGAACTGGAGGCTAAAACACACAAGGAACGGCTGCTGGAATTGGGGATGTCTAGTTTAATGAAGAGAAGGACAAGGGGGGACAGGATAGCAGTCTTCCAGTATCTTAGGGCCTGCCCCAAAGAAGAAGGAGTCAAGCTATTCTCCAAAGCGCCTGAAGGCAGGAGAAGAAGCAACGGATGGAAACCAATCAAGGAGAGAAGCAACCTAGAACTAAGGAGAAACTTCCTGACAGTTAGAACAATTAACCAGTGGAACAACCTGCCTCCAGAAGCGGTGAATGCTCCAACACTGGAAGTTTTTAAGAAGAGACTGGACAGCCATTTGTCTGAAATGGTATAGGGTTTCCTGCCTGAGCCGGAGTTTGGACTAGATGACCTCCAAGGTCCCTTCCAACTACTACTGCTACTTCTTCTTCTTCTTCTTCTTCTTCTTCTTCTTCTTCTTCTTCTTATTCTTATTATTATTATTATTATTATTATTATTATTATTATTATTATTATTATTATTATTATTATTATTTTCAAGAAGACATCGTCAGTGCCCTTCGAATTGTGCTCGTCTGTCAGAGCACTGGCCTTTAAATACCTTTTTGTGGGATGCAGATTGATAAGAATGTTGTTCAGGTGTTGTTGAGTCATGGGCCGTTTGATTGGCTGGCGGTTCCAAAGAAACAACATTCGTACCAATTTGCATCCCACAAAAAGGTATTTAAAGGCCAGTGCTCTGACAGACGAGCACAATTCGAAGCGCACCAGCAACATCCCCCCGAATGGAGGCGAAACGTTGGCAACCAAGCTCGGAGATCAAAACAACAGCCCAACTACCAACTTGAGCTACTAATATTCGAACACATTTTGAAGCTCCATTTGTGCAAATACCCCTCAATGGCGCAAATGGAGCTGCACACCGCCCACACACACACGCTCGCATGCTGCTTGCATGGCCTGGTTTCTAACCGGTACCGGTACCGGTCCACAGCCCGGGGGTTAGGGACCCCCAGGTTATCCAGCTTGAGTGATGGGAGGGCAGGTCTGCATGCAGAGGGGTGGGATCCTGACTTTGAATCTCCGGCCGAGACCCCAGGGCTGCTCCGGACGTTGTCGCCCTCTTTTCATTCCCCAGGGCAGCTACAACCAGCCGCTGGGAACTTCCAGCACCCACGCGGACACCCTCTTCCTGGACTGCACCCTGCGCGGGCTGCAGCTAGAGTCCTCAGACGCCTGCGCTGACTGCCTCTCCCGGTTCCTGCTGCTCTTGCGGCCTGAGGACCCCAGCCCCCAGGACCGCCTGGAGGAGCTGCCCCCCGCCCTGGGGGAGGAATTTGGGGTGCTTTGGAAAGTGGACCTGAAGGTGGAGGACGTGAACCTTTTTACGCTGTCCAGCTTGGCAGGTGAGCCTGGGGGGGGAGGGGGGCGGCCTTGGATGAATGAGGGGAGGGGTCTTTGGGGCCTTGGGAACCCGCAGAGGGAAGACCCTCCCCCCTTGCTTGGGGGGCTGAGACAAGGACTGGCCTTTCTTGGCTCCAGCTTTTGGCCCCTAACTCCAGAAATGATTTTGGGGACACTTAGAGAGTTTATTTGTCTCACTTGGGGATGGTCTGCCTCCCTTTGATGGCCCCGCTGCGTTTCATTCCCTTATTTGTTTCACATAAAATATAAAATATCTTTATATTTTGCAATAGGGACAAAATATCTGTGGCGAATACATTTTTAAAGGACCCCTCATTTTTATATTTTATTTATTGTATTAAATAAATAAAATGTTAAATTTCTACGCTACCCATCTCACTCTCAGGCCACTCTGGGCTCTTTAAAACGGCCATAAATAATAGAATAAAACAGTTACAGGCAGTCCTCAATTTACAACCGTTCATTTAGCGACCCGATGACATTACAGCAGCACCAAAAAAAGGGACTTATGACCCGTTTTCACACTTTACAGCCGTTGCAGCATCCCCGTGATCAGGTGATCGGAATTCAGACACTCAGCAACTGACTCGTACTTACGACGGCTGCAGAGTCCCTGGGGGGTCATGCGATCCCCTTTTGCGACCTTCTGGCAAGCAGAGTGAAGCCGGATTCACTTAACAACCGCATGACTAATTTAACGGCAACAGTTATTCCCTTAAGAATTGTGGCAAGGAAGGTGGTAAAGTGTTGCAAAATTCACTTAACCCACGTCTCACTTAGCAGCCAAAATTTGGGCCGGTCGTAAGTCGAAACCTACTTGTACAGGATTCAAAACATTGAAACTTTGGGCATTGACAGATAAAACATTAAAATTAACATGATAAAGGGGATAAAAGGAGCAGGAGGCAGAATCAGCTCTTGTTCCAACAGCCTCCTCCACAAGGGGGCGCTCCCATCCGGGCCCCGAAAATCGGGAGATGCAGTCAGTTCAGCTGAATAATAATAATAATAATAATAATAATAATAATAATAATAATAATAATAATAACAACAACAACAACAGGTAGTCCTTGGCTTATGATCCACAACTGAGTTCAAAACCTCTGTTAAGTGAGGCATTTGTTAAGTGAGTTTTGCCCCATTATACGACCTTTCCTGCGAACGTCGTTAAGTGAGTCACGGCGGTTGTTGAGTTAATAACATGGTGCTTAAGTGAGTCTGGCTTCCCTAGCGACTTTGCTTGTCAGAGGGCCACTAAAGCCGATCACGTGACCAGAGGACCCGGCCACCGTCGTAAAGGTGAGTCCTGTTGCCAAGCGTCCGAATTTTGATCAGGCGACCACGGGGACGCTGCAAAGGTCGTATGTGTGAAAAACGGCCACAAGTCATTTTTTTTCAGGGCCGTTGTAACTTCGAATAGTCCCCACCAAGCGAATTGCGGTAAGCCGAGGACGGCCTGTATTCAGTAGAGGCTGCCGGTCGTCCCGGGGGAGCCCTTGCCGGGGGTCAAATGGCTGCCCCGCCATGTTATCTGGGCCCCTCTCGGCCCCTCTAAAGTCGGCGGCCGCCTCTGTGTGCGACAGCAGCACAATCACAACTGCGTGGAGGAGCCGCGTCTTCCTGCATTGAGTTTTCATCCGGGGACAGCGAGTGGCCACCCTCCCTGCTGCTGCGGAGACATGAGTTCAAGGACGGGGATGGATGGGCTTTGTAGTACTTTGGGCCAGGAGGTGGACAGTGGTGCCTGGGCCACATTGAGCGTCTTTCTCTCTCTCTCTTTCTCTCTCTCCTCCCCCCCAGGGGCCACAGAGCTTCGGGTGGACACCCTGACCACGCTGGGCAGTGCCGAGAGCTGCACCATCAGCATCCAGGGGGTGGCGCTGTCCCTGGTGAAGACCCTGGCGGAGAAGATGCAGCCCTGCTGCAAGGCCCCCACCATCCCCAGCCCCGTGGCCGGCCTGGCCGCCCTCTCCCTCACCTACCGCAGCAGCATCCGCTCACTGGAGGTGCCCCCCTTCCCCTCCCCCTGCCCCCATTGCTTTGCCAAGGAATCGGGGTCTAGGGGCGGCCGACTGGCCCCGGCACAAGAGTTACGCCAATGTGGAAGAAAGGGTGGAGTAGAACCGTTAGAGAAAAGATGCCAAAGGAGGGACGTGAATGACAAAAACTAAAATATCTTTTTGATCATTTTAAATAATTAAATTGAATAGCCCCGCAGCAAGTTGGCTGTGGAAAGTCGTCCCGATCCACCCCATTCAGCCCCCCCCCAAATCCCACTTGGTGTTCTCCCCAATAAAAAGGCCCCCTCCGGAGAGTCCAGTACAAACTATCCTGGCCTCTGGGCTCAGAGACACCCTTGCCCACTTCCTGGGCGCTCCTCCAGCCTCACTGGGCATAATGGCTTCTTACCCTCACCCTACCCCTTTTGGTACCTTAGCAGCAGGCTAGAAAAAATGGGGGGAATGAGTGGGGCTGGGCAGGTAGACTTGCTTGGGGGTGAGTTCATCGCCCTACCTGTCCTTTTCCAGGTGCAATGTGGAGATAGCCTGACGCTGCTCTGGAGCCCAGCCACCCACATGTATCTGTTCGAGCACCTCTTGGCTACCCGACGCTGCTACGAGACGCTGCAGAGCTTGCTGTCACCCCCAAAACGCACCTCCGCTGCCCTTCCCCAGCAGGGCCCCGAAGGCCAGATCCCTGCCCAGGATGGGGCTCCCTTCCCCGAGGGCCCGGCCCCCAGGAGGCTGCTGGGGCTGACCCTGGAGTTCAGCTGTCTGAAGTTGACCGCTTTCGTGTCGGAGAAACGTTACTTGAGCCTGGCGGCCGAGCGGCTTTTACTCAACCGACACGGCACGTCCGTCCACGCCTACTGCCCCGGACTGGTGGCCGGCTTTGACGGCAACAGCATCCTGGTCTTGAAGGAGGTGGAGCTGCAGGCCCTGCCAGAGCTGGAGGAGATGATCCTGCACCGCGGCCCCTTCCCCAACCTCTGCACTTTGCGCAACCGCGTCTGGGCCCTCTCCTGCGCCGCCGTGGCAGTGGAGTTCCCGTACCAGTACGACTTCTCGGCTACGTTGGACGAGGCGCTGGGCGTGCAGAAGTGGCTGAAGGGACTCCACGGGCGGAAGGCCGCCAGCGGGGCCCCGGCCCAGCCCTTGCCGCCCGACCTTCTGCTCAAGGTCCAGCACTTCTCCTGGGTCTTCCTGGACGACGTCTTTGAGGTGAAGCTGCGCGACAACTACGAGCTGATGAAGGACGAGAGCAAGGAGAGCGCCAAGCGGCTGCAGCTGCTGGACGCCAAGGTGGCCGCCCTGCGCAAGCAGCACGGGGAGCTACTGCCCGCCCGGAAGATTGAGGAGCTCTACGCCTCCCTGGAGAAGAAGAACATCGAGATCTACCTGCAGCGCTCCCACCGGCTCTACGCCAACACCCCCATGCGCAAGGCACTGATCACCTGGACCATGTCCAGCCTGGAGCTGGTGGCGCTGGCCGACGAGTCGTTCTCTGGGGCCGAGCGGGTGCTGCAACAGATCCGGGACATGGATGCCGCCAGCCCCTTCCCCCCCGAGGGCCTGGAGCTCCTCACCTACTGGTGCCGCATGGTCAAGGGCAGCGTCAAGACCTACTTCGGTGAGTGTGCGGCTGTGACCCACGGCGTCCTGGGCCCGGTCTGTGAGCCTCCGTGCCCTGAACAACATGGCAATTTGATGTTCTGTTTGTTGTTCAGTCGCTGAGCTGTGTCTGAATCTTTATGGCCCCGTGGAGTATGGGCAGCCCTCAGCTTAACAACGGTTCATTTAGTGACCATTCAAATTTACAACGGCACTGTAATGACCGTTTTTCACACGACTGTTGCAGTCTCCCCGCAGTCACGGGATCAAAATTCAGGCACTTGGCAACTGACTCATATTTACGACAGTCGCAATGCCCTGGGGTCACGTGATCCCCTTGAGCGACCTTCCGACAAGCAAAAGTCGGTTGGGGGGAGCCAGATTCACTTAACGATCGTTTTGCTAATGTAACAACTGCAGTGATTCACTCAGCAACTCTGGCAAAGGAAGTCGTAAAGCGTTGCAAAATTCACTTAACACACGTCTCGCTTAGCAACATAAATTTTGGGCTCAATTGCGGTCGTACGTTGAGGGCTACCCCTACAGCACGCCAGCCCCCCCGTCCTCCACTCTCTCCCGGAGTTCATGCTTGTTTGCTTCGATGACCCCGTCTAACCGTCTCATCCTTTGGTGTCCCCTTCTCATTTTGTCTCCCCAACATCGGTGTGTGTGTGTGTGTGTGTGTGTCTTCCCCAAGGAGTCCTCCCCTCTCAGTGGGGGCCAAAGTATTTGAGCTTCAGGATCTGTCCTTCCAAACGACACTCAGGATCGGTCTCCTTTAGGATTGAGGGATTGGATAAGTCTTCTCCCACGAATGTTCGATTTAGCTGTGCAGAAGTTTATTTGTCGTGCCCCAGATGCTGTAGGAAGTGGGGAAGGTGGGCCCCTGCCCCACAGAGCATAGGGGTCTAAGCTTTACTCAGGGAAGGTAGATGCAAGAGCTAACTAGAGCAGAGGCCCCCAACCTTTGGGGCACCAGGGACCACCGGTTCCGTGGAGGTCAGTTTTTCCGCAGACCGGAGGGGGCCTGGTTTTGTGTGCTGTCTGCATCTCGTGGATGGGGCTCTGCTTGTTTGTGCGGACCGGTTGCTGGCATGCCGCGGCCCGGTACTGGTCCATGGACCGGAGGTTGGGGACCCCTGAATTAGAGGGCAGCCAAACGTGCCTGGGGGGCTATGAAAGGGTATGTAAACACAGGCCACAGATACCCCTCTGGATCTGGGTGATCGCGAGGGTCTTCTGGCTACGGGCGTCCACTGATGCCTTGATGGAGTCCAAACCTGTCTCTAAATTTGACCATTTTTAAGACTTCAACTCCCAGAATTCCCCAGCCAGGGAAGCAAAAGGAGCTGGCTGGGGAATTCTGGGGATTTGGAGAGAAAAGGAGTGAAGGACGCCCTGCCCCTTCCCGTACTGTCCCATCTCTCCCCTTCTCAACGTGGCCTCTTTCCTCTCCCTCCCCCTCCCCAGTGCGGATCCGGGATTACCCACGCTATTTGTTTGAGATACGGGACTGGAGACTGTCGGGCCGGCTGGCCGGCGCGGAGACCCCTGGACAGCCCTGCTCTCGCCGGCGGCAAAAGCTGGAACTGGGGGCCCCGTGGGGCCCGGTGTCCGTGGAGAGGAACATGCCCCCTTTGAAGTTCTACCACGACTTCTGCTGTAAGTCCCGGTGGGGGGCTGGCGTAATCCTGGCGGGCCACAGCCCTCCGCCAATTGGCCAGAAGGGCTGGGGCGAGGATGGGGCTCTCTGCCCCTCTGGGGGGGTGGGGGAGAGGTGCGTCTGGTGCCCCCCCGTCACCCTCTTCTGATGCCCCTCGTCGCCCTCTTCCCCTGTGCCCCAGCCGAGGTCTACCAGTTTACCATCGTGTGGGGGCCGTGCTGGGACCCCGCCTGGACCCTGATCGGCCAGGCCATCGACCTGCTCACCAAGCCTTCGGAAGACCCCAGCCCGCCCCTGCCCTGGTGGGACAAGAGCCGCCTCCTCCTGCACGGAGACTGGCACATGGATATCGAGCAGGCCAGCCTCCACCAGGTGGCCACGGAGGTGAGGCAGCCCCCACGGGGGCACAGGTGACGGGGGGGTGTCCGCCTTTCGGCCGGCCTCCCTTCCAGCCTCGGTTTCTCCTGCAGGACCCCTACAACACCACGGAGAACCTGCACTGGGAGTGGAGCCACCTGGCCTTCCACTGGCGGCCGGGCCAGTTCGTCTTCAAGGGGGACCTGGACGTCAACGTCCGGACGGCGTCCAAGTGGGTGGCCCTCCACCCGGGGGGGGGAGGGAGGGGCCGGCAGGCGCTCTGAGATGAAAGGGGCCGAACAGACAATTGAAAAAAAAAAAAACCCCGATGAAATTTCCAAAGGAATGTTTTTGTAAACGAGCAAATAATTTTTTCTAGATAAATGCATGCATAAATTATTCTAAATAAGTATTTTTTTTTCTAAATAAATCAATTTTTTTTCTAATCAGTTTTTTTCCCTAAACAAACATTTTTCCCAGATAAAGGAATGAAATTACTAAAGGAGTATTCTAAATGAAAAAGAGAAATATTCTAAGTAAATGTATAAGTCACATTTTGGAGGAAAGGAAAGGAAGGAAAAGAATGGGTGGATGGAAGGATGGAAGGAAGGAGGGAAAGAAGAAAAGAAGAGGGAGGGAGAGAAAAGCAGGAGAGGAGGGAAGGAATATATTTGATAAGGAAGGAAGAGTGGGAGGAAGGAAGGAAGGAAGGGAAAAGAAGAGGGAGGGAGGAAAGGTGGAAGGAAGGAAGGAAAGGGAGGAAGGAACGAAGGAAAGAGAAGGAAGGAAGGAAGGGAGGAAGGAAGGAATATGATAAGGAAGGAAAGGTTGGGAGAAGGAAGGAAGGAAAAAAGGGAGGGAGGGAGGGAGGGAGGAAAAGGAGGGAGGGAGGAAGGAAATGAAGGGTGGAAGGAAGGAATATAAGGAAGGAAGGAAAGGAAGGGAGGAAGGAATAGAAGGAAGGGAAGGAAAGGAAGGGAGGGAGGGAGGATGGGAAGAAAGGAAGGAAAAGGGAGGGAGGGAGGGAGGAAATGAAGGGTGGAAGGAAGGAATGAAAAAAGGAAGGAAAGGGAGGAAGGAAGGAAGGAAGGAA